TATTCTATCCCAATAAAAGATGTGAAGTGATATCACAGCAATCAAGAGTTGGCTAGAGCTACTACACCACAGAATAGTGCTGTCCAAAACAGTAACCACTTGCCACATGTGACTATCAAGCACATGAAATGTGGCTAGTCCAAATTCGATATGCTATATGTATAAATACCTGATTTCAAAGACAATATTAAAAAAAGTATGTAAACTCATTAGTAATTTTTATATGGATTAATGTTAAACTATCTTGAATACTGGGTGAAGTAAAATGTACTTTCTTAATGTTGTTACTAGAAATTTTTAAATTACATATTTGGCTCCCATTATATTTATTCTGGACAATACTGGAATGTACGAAAGATGCTGTAGTTTATAGAATGAGTCTAATCAAATCTTCACTATTTTTTTTTGCTGTTGCAAACTAAGGCAAATAAGTTATACTGATTTTAGCTTCTGTATCAGAAAAATAGGGTTTAAAAACAGTCCTGAAACCAAGTATTCAGATTTTGATATCTAAATCTGTTTTCCACTAGAAAGAATGGAGGATTCCTTGGAGAAATGTCTAATGTCAGAGCTGGGACACGTAAAGTACAACGAACCTGGAATATCTTTTTTGTCAAGAAAGAAGTGCTCAAGAAATCATTGGACTGGAGGAGGTGAGAAAGGTGTAATTTGTCAGAAAGCACTGGAACCAGCTGAAGGAGGATCCCCCTAGCCAAACCTGGGACAATCTGGGAGTCAAAAATATTAATAGTAATGGATTTAACCATTAAGTAAATAAGAATCCATGAGTTCATACTGATAAAAATAAATAAGTAAACAAACAATGGAGGAGATGGAAGAGACTGCTTTATGACAGAATACCAGCTACTAATTATAGAAGGAATGATAAAGTTAGAAAATGATGAATGGATGTTAAAACTTGTGGGTGAAATTTTGATGAGACTATGTAAATACTCTGTTCCTCAAAGTATTTTCCCACAAATTACATATTAATTACAGAAGAATAAATAATAACTTTCAGGAAGATATATGGAGAACACCATCTTAACCAAGTTTTCAAAGCTAACATCACCAACATTGGGACAAACCAACTTCATGAACCTCAAGATACCATGTACTGAGGACAGAACCTCTCTCCAGAGGTATTTCTGCCAAAAAATGCATAACCAGTCTAATCATGAAGAAACAACAGGCAAATTCAAATTGAGAGACATTCTACAAAATAACTGTCCTGTACTTTTGAAAAATATCAAGGTCAAAAAACATAGGAAAGGTTGTTCCAAATTAAACATAAAAAAGTGTTCCAAATTAAAAGAGATTGAAGAGATGATGACCAAATACAATGCATGATCATGCACTGGGGGAAATAAACATAAAGATAGATAAATAGATAAAATTTGAACATAGATTCTGAATTACACAATTTTAAGTCTCCTTGGTTTTAAGACAACGTCCTTGGTTTTATGAAATACACAGTAAGGAACTTAGGGGTAGAGGTATGATGTCTCCAAATTACCCTCAAATGATTCATTTAAAAGAATACACATACACAGAGAGAGAAAGAGAGAGGAGAGGAAAGGAGGGGAGGGGAGGGGAGGGGAGGGGATGGACATAAGGCAATAATGATAAAGCAAATGCAGCAAAATGTAATACAAAGGGTGAATATGGATAAGGGTATATAGGAGTTCTTTGTACTACTCTTCCAACTTTTCTCGTAAGTTTGAAATTATACAAAATTGAAAGTTAAAAAAAAGCAAAGAAACAGTAAGCCTGGTCTATCTCCTACATCAAATATACTAATAGACTATACATGTCCTAATAATGTTTAAAAATATACTAATGCATTCTATTGTCCTAGAATTTACTCTGCTGTAAATTTTCTGACTTATCAGATATTAATTATAATATATATTTCACAAGATCCAGGATTGTATATCCTCAATATCATACTGAGTCCTAGGATACTATTTACTATAACCACTAAGCACTCAAATATATGTTATATGAGCATACTCAAAATTATAACACAGTATAGGATGTTTACAAAAAAATAATCAAATTATATAAAGCACCGTATTGTAAACAGAGCTATTAACTGGGACACAGAACTTATAAGACAACTCTTCCAATAAATTAGAAAAAAAAAATAAAAACCAGGAATAAATCACATAGTTAAAAATCTAACCTGAAGAGTTCCACAAATAGAGAAAGGTATGCATTTTCCATATCAACAGTTAAACATCTTAGCTAACTAGCAGTAGTCATAACTAAAATGAACTCCCCCCATAAAATCAGAATATTATATATGAGTTCTAAAAAAACTGAATCAAATTAAAGACTTAGGCTAAGAACTGAGATTTTAAACTTCACTACTGGCTCAATACTAAACTGCTGTATGGACCCTAAGAAGGTGCTTACAATTTCCTTATCTCGTTTAAAAATAAGATACTTGCATCATTTTCTTCCACAAAGGTAGAAAGGTTAGTATTTTAATAAAATGATTTCAAGCAGTAAGAGCACTGAATATTCAATACAGAAATATATACACATATTCTCATACATGCACACTTGCAAACCAAAAAGAAAATAACTTTTTTGTAAACATGATTACAAAGTACTGAGGGTAAGCACAATAGCAAAAAGGAACTTTCAATAATTACACAAACTACATTTAATCCCAATCCTCTCTATGACTAGGTGCTTCACATATAGGACACTGACAAAAACCAACAGTGTGTATGTCCTGTTTAAAAGAGACATTGTTTATTTAAAAATAACTGTGACAAAAACAAAGCTGAGATGGGTGTTACTAAGTCTCCTGTCAAGGACTGGGACTGTGGGGTACATTTCCCAAATACAGTTGGAGCCCAGGAAAAAATTTTCTTTCAAATACGATACAATGACATATTACATTTAAAATTTAAAAGAGATTGCATGTTAAACATACAGCTTTAACTCAATTCTCAATGTCTTCTAATCCTATGTATCCCAGTAGGTGAGACAGAGAAGGATTCTAATTATTTTTCCATAAAATCCAATTCATTGTTTAATTAAAATTGAACTATTTTTCAAAAGTACATACATCTAAATAAGCAACAAGATGGCAGGAAAAAAACCCAAACTATTCTAAAACATAATTGACGAAAGACATCGTCAAATCACTGTGTGACTGGGCAAAACTTAACACCATAATATTGCTGCCAGTTTTGCAATGCTGTCATCCAGCCTGATTCTAACTGAATTTAACAATTTCTAAACACGTTGTCAGTAGAAGAAATCTTTACTTAAGCAATTATAAAAACGGGTCCATTTTGTATTCAGGAAGCTTAAAATTTTACTAATTTCTAAATTAAAATTTGGCTTAATCTTTAAATAATATGGCAAGTCTTTTTTACACTTTTCTTGAGAACTAAAATCGCTTATGAGTACTTGACTAAAAGCTATTGCCCAGAATATTTCCTTAAATAAAATCAAAACATATTTTATAAAGGTAAAACTACTAGTAAACTGCTCAAAGACAACCTGAGGGCTCTTAATCAGAGAAGCCTTCCTTCTAATACGTATTCCTACATCCATCGTATTCTGCAGTCACATTTCTGAGTTGAAGTTGTTAGCTTATCCTACTACGATCTCCTTTTCACGAGTGAAAAATAAGATCTTCAAGCGCTAACTAAACAAATCTGAGGGGTTTGGGGGAAAGGGGCGCGAGGTGGCGCAAGAACAGACGGAAACAAGGTAAGAGAGTTGTTTTCTTGAGGCACTAAGGTTCCTCAACTCCAAATGCCAAGATTTAATCGCCAGTCGAGCAATCTGCAGCCACTACCCACTCCTTAGATAATGCAACCTTCCTATCTCTTCCCCTACTCTACTACCCATAACTCCTTCCAAAACAAACAACGCACTGTAACACATCCTATCCCAAAACCCGCGTAGTCCCCTCCGTACCCTCTAAACCAACCTGCTGGATATCAATCAGCTCCACGCACATGTCTCACTCAGATAAAAAAGCGACCGCAGCAAGGTGCGTAGTTTCCACAACCTTCCGCCACCCGAGCAACCCGTAAAATGACATCCCCAGGCCCAGAAGTTTGAAGCAAAATGATTTTGACCCCACCAAAAGGAAAGACAGAATTGCAGGAGAATGGGATGGGAAGTGGCTAGGGCGACGTGCGCGTCTGTGCCGAGAAGGGTCCATCACATGACAGTAAAAGAGGACCAGAGTCCTAGGGGCGTCCGCGAAGAGAATAAGGGAGGGGGGGTGCAGTCGCCATGGCAACACCCCCCATCCGTCCAGACTTCCAAAGAGGGAGGAAGAACTTCAAATCCCAACCGTCAGCGCTCGAGCGGCTGCTTCTTAAAGGGGTACACACAGCGCCGCCGCCGCCGAGCGCGAGAGGGCAGAGTGGGCGCCCCCGCCCCTCGGGCGACGCCCCCGCCGCCCCGCGCCCCCGGCAGCCCCCCAGCGACCCCAGCCCCGCGAGCGCCCGGGGGTCGCCCAGGTCTCGGTCCCCGGGAGCTTGGCCGCGTCGGCCAGCTCGGCCCCCAGCGACAAGAAGGGGGTGTGTGTGCGCCCGGCGGGGGCGCGGACCAGCCCGCCTTCCTCCCGCCGGCCCTGCCCGCCGGCTCCCTTCGCCCGGGAGCCGACCCGCCAAGCCGCTTCCTCCCTCCTGACAGGGCGGACGGCGGGCGGCGAGGGGCGCCGAGGAGCTCCGGGGAGAGCGCGGGCGAGCGGCTTCCTCGGGGGCTGGACGAGCCAGCCCGCACCAACAGTTCCTGGGGAGCCCAAGGGCTGAGAAGGAGAAGGGGCGAGGGGCGCGCCGGGCGAGGAGCCCCCAGACAAAAGGCGAGAGCCGGGGCCGCCGCGCCGCCGCCGCTCCCATCGCGCTCCCCCATTGAACTGACCCGAACGGGAGATTCAACTAACCCCTCAGCCACAAACTCCTCGGGCTGCAGCAGCTGTCGCCGCGCGGAGCCGGGGCTCCGGCCAGTGTCTCTCTTACCTACACAGTGCATGAGGCGGTGACGCCAAGAGTCGAGTTCCCGCCGGAATCCTCTCCTCTCCGCCGCGCACCGAGGGCTCCGGCACTGAGCGGCGGCGGCGGCGGCAGCGGCCATTCTCTCTCTTCCCTTGTCCATCTGCGTCCCGCGTCACGCGCCCTCATTTACATACGAGCGGCGCAGGCACGAGGCAGGGGCGCGAGCCCTCGGCGCGAGCCCCGGAGCGCGCGCCCCCCGGAGGGGGGGGTTGATTGACACGTGTCACTACCTTCCCTCGGCCCTTTTCTCCCCCTCCCACTGCTCCCTCCGGGAGAGGAGGGGAGGGAGCGTGAGGAGAAGGAAGCAACCTGCCGCTTCCGCTGACCCCGCCTCCCCATCCACTCTCCTCTCCCCCTCCCCCGCTCCCTCCTGAGTTTACTCAAGAGAGCCATACTGCTCCCGCCGCCCGCGAAAACCTTGAGCGGGAGCAAGAGGAACGGAGCCCGGCCAGAAACCCGCGTGCAAATGGAGCGTACTAGCAACACCGCCCTCCTGCCTTCGCGACGCGCCTCCGGCCGCCCGGGGACTTCACTTCCCAGGCTCCATTGCGCCAGTATCCCGAAGCGGAGCTTGCCGCGGCGGCGCGGTGCACGCCGGTCCTTGTAGTGTAGCAGCGGCGCGCGCTAACCAGCCCTCGTACCTGGACTTGCGGGCTTCGACTTCTCGCTGCACCGCTGGTGGGGTTAGGACTGAGCGCCCAGGACTGTGTGGTGTTCGCGTCGCCGGGTCTCACCCAGACGCCTCAGCTTCTTTAGGTTCTGCAAGAGAAGGGCGGTAGAAGCCGTAAGTTGTCTGCCACCTGAGGGTTCAGGCTGCGCTTTGTGCTTTAAGCGCTGGAAACTGTTGGGGGTCACTGTCATCCCTCCACTGCAGGGAAGAGCAAGCCAGTAGTCCTTTGGCTGCATCCGAGAGAACTGTCAAAATATTCAGAGAGAGAGATCCCGCAGTGATTTCAGTTTCCAGGGCGAAGAGATCTCGGAAAACGACACTGTTTTCAGGGATTAGGGGGGAAAATGCGGGGCTTTCATTGAACATTATTTACGGGGCATTTGGTGTTGCTGGGTGAAAACTCCCAAAGGGGAAACTTTTATGTTCCGCATAATGTAAACTCGTGGAGGACAGCGACCCACCAAGACTTCTGTACCATGACATCTGCACTTCCCTGACCCTAATACAGCGCATGGCATGGGCCTAAGCACTTTACATATGTTACGGACCGAATTCTACACCATGCTAGAGAAAATATTTCTTCTTCAGAGGGAAAGCTTTTGGTTAGATATAAACTCCAATGACATTTTTTACCTTTGCGCCAGAGCGATTGTACATGTGATTCTGTATACGTGCAGAGGCCAAATCGAAGCTGAGACACTCAAAGTTCGCTGAGAAGTACTGTGTATTACTGGAAATTTATGCACAAGTCTATAGGAAATATATTTTAACCCTTCTTGGAAACCCCTATGAATTCTGAATTCAGTTCTGCCTGCCCTGTTTTGTGCCTTATCCATATTGACCTTTCTTTTTTTTCTAAGGAGAAAATATTTAATTGCTCCTATTATCTCTCAATAGTGAGGATGTAATTTTACATTTTCACGAATAAAAGTGTAGTTTGAAATCTCAAAATTACCTTTTCTCGAATGGTCACAATTGGAGAAGCAAGTAAAATCACTAACGAAGGTGCTTTGGGAATTATCAGTGGATGCTTTAAGTTACCCATTCCATTCGTAATTGCCAAGATCATCAGCCTTTGTAGCTTTCCTTAACACTTGTACAGTAATCTACTTTAGTTAGGATGGGCTAGGTTACGGTGCAGTAACAAGGGATCCAAAAATGTTAGTGGCTTAAAGCAACAAAAAAAACTTATTTCCTGCTAATCTACATGTTCATTTCTGGTAATTGGGGATACAGGAAGAGCTTCAGGCCAGGTTATTCTCACCCAGCAACCAAATGGCTTAGGGAGATACCAATATCCGGAACTTGTATGACAGGCAAAAGAAAGATAAATAGTAAAGTAGTGCTTCCTGAAAGTTATACAAGTCAATTCCACTCACATTTCATTGACAAAAGGAAATCATATGGGCATGTTTTCTTCGAAGGAGCAGGAAAGTGTAATCCTACTATTTGCCCAGAAGGAAGATGGCCTGAATTTATTTGTGAACAGCACCAGTGATTATTACAATCCTCCCTCTAGTCAGCAATTTACAGTTCACACTCCTTAAACAAAATACATTCATCCCTGATACAAATATATTCGAGTAGTTTGAAATACTCGTTACCAATATAGAGAAATATAACATTTATGGAGAGATATGACTATAGTCATGGTTTTTAAGAAACCAAGCAAACATGAAAGCTATTCTTTAATTTGCAACAAAAACAGACAATTAATTCACTATGCTTCTAAGATTGTAAAATATCTAATCACCTGTGAATTATGATGCATTTTCTAATTCAATAATTACTTTTTCTATATAATGCCCAAATAATTTACATTTTCTAATTTAATAAAATCTAAACACTTTTGTTTCAGTTAGATATTTGTACTTATAAGTGTAACTTAATAGTTGAATTTATTGATGCCTTAATACATTATAAAGTAGTTCATAATGCTGAGAAGCCATTTTCGAGTGAACTTTATTAACTGCTTTAAAAATACCACAATTTACTATTTTTCCTTTAGTTCTGAACTGCGCTTATCAGAGATCTAAAAATCAAAGACAAATTTGATCAACTAGTTATTTAAGATATGGAACATAGTCCCCTTCCAGAAACTTTCTAACCAGCCATGTAATTATATTATTCTAAATTTTATGCAAACATCTTAGATTCATCCTGATTTATGAGCCAAAGATTTCTCAGCATTGTTTTTCCTATGGGAGTATGGACTCTAAGAACACTGTCCTCTCACATATGCTGATGCATTTAATTTCAATGCTTCAGTTAAATAATTCGAGAAATTTAAAAAACATGAGTGATTTTGTCTTCTTGATGCATTTCCAAGTATCCACATCGATTGTGCACATTTTGTAAGGAAAAAAAGATAAAATTTCACAGGAGGGAATGAAAACTGAAGAAGCAGAAATATAATGGTGATGCCCTTCATTTCTTATTCTGTAATGTCTGTTTCCTATTCCAAGATTGCCCTTTAGTGTACATAAAAATGACCATATTTGGTCCAACGCTGTCACTCATCTCAAGGTGCTATCCCAGATATCTGGTCTTGGTGTTCTTTGTTTAGCTCAACCATTAAGTATTTTTAAAACACTACTATTACACCCAGTTATCACCTTCATATTAAATATCTTTTAGTTAGACATAATTTTCACTATATTAGGGAGACTCAGGCATTAAACTGTCAGGATAACCAATACTGAAATTAGGGTGAACCTATTTTCTAATTGTTTTTGAATTTAATAGCATTTACCACCTATTTTCTCTTACGTTCAGGCAGATGATAATAGGATCTGATCTATCACTACTCTTTCTGTGTCTGCTTGAAATCACTCCCCTAGCCTAACTCATGATTATCACTTTCACTTTCAGCCTTTTAATAATGTCAGTGTATTATATGCTTAATGATGGCAATTTGATCCAATTTAATCCAGTTGCATAGCTCAGTATCAAAGTCAAATAAAAATGTTATTTTTAGCACCTAGTTGATTATAGTTTAGGGAGATTACAGATCATCTAGGTCAATTCCCTATTTTTGCAGGTAGGGAAATCGAGGCCCAGAGAGGAGAAGCAGTTAATGTAGGTCACATAGCTTATAAGCAGCAGAACCGAAACCAAAAAGCAGATTTTCTGATTCCTAATTTTACCTCTTTTTGCTATAATAACAGCCATAATTTCTAATCAATTGCATACATTATTAATTCACTTAACCTTTTCTATAACTATGCAGTTAGTATTGTTATTATTATCACCTTATCTCAGATAAACAATTATAAATTTGTTCAAAGAAGTCATCCAACATCATTCAGCTAGTTAGTAGTAGAATTGGAATTTTAATCTGTCTTTCCAAGTGTAACTATTACTGTATGTGAAAAGCAAAAAAGATGATTAAGCTGCCTTGCAAGGAATCAGAAACTAAGGAACCTGGACTTGATCTGATTTTCATGAAGGGCTATTGATTTGGAGGAAGAAAGTGACACAAAAACAAATTTTTAAATGTACATGAGATTTGCATTTGTGTCTCACATTATATTTCTTTTGAACAGATTTGGTTCAGAATTTACATGCCAAGATATAAGATTGGTCAGATGAAATACAGGGAAATACAAAGACATATTTAACAAGCATTCTCAAGTGCTATCTTCTGTTTTGAAAGGTTTATTTGGAGGAATATTTGTCTCTCTAGTAGTGGTCAGGGTAAAGGTGAATTGTTTTCAAACAAAGTGGCCGCCTGCCTGGATATCTATATTCCCTTCTTTCTGGAAATAGCACCCTGGTGTTCCTTTGAGCAATCATCTCTCCCTGATTTTGAGTCCATGTAGATTGGATGAAACTGTCTCATGAGTCTAGAATTGGTCATGTGACCCAGGCCTAATCAACCAGAATATTCCATTCCCCTAGTCACAATAATTGGTTCAGGAAATTGGTAAAAGTTGTTTGGTCAACTGTGAATCAGCTCCAGATTTGGGAGTAACTACTAAAAAAGTTACTAATCTGGGGGATTAATCTGTAACTATTCATGGCCCCTTGGCCAGCACACAGAGATCTGACCTAAGAATGAAACAACCAAGAGAAAAGCAGTATCAAGAGACAGAGAGAAATGGAACATTCGGGGTACCTGGGTCCATTCTATGAGTAAAACTACTACCTGGAAACTTTCAGAATTTTAGTAAATTTACTCCTTTGATCAAACAAATTTAAACTTAATTTCTGTCCTTCAAAACTAAGAGATCTAATACAAAGGGATTAACAAATCGTTAAGTAACTGTGTTGAGTGCCGGTGGAGTAAGGCACATAGTTGTTTTTAATTATTATTCATTCATTCATCCATCCATCTATCCATCCATTCAGTAAGCATTCATTGAGATCCTCTGCTATACCACACTCTGGAAAAGCAGATATGAAAATTCAGTCACCATCATTGATGATCTTTCTATTTTTTAAGTTATCTATGTGCCTATTATTAGTTCTCTTTGTTCTCTCTAATATCCTACCAATTTTCAATTTTCCAAAAACCAAGGCTGTTATGTAATTTCTGCTTCGTTTTGTCCCATGAAATTCTTTCTTGGATCCCTCTATCATCCTACTTGTATTTGGACTTGCTTTCTGGGTCTGCTGCCAGCTCTCATCTGTAACCACCCTTCCTCACCTTAGGGATTCCTTTGGCCCTCTCTTATGTTGGACTGCCTGTTTTCTTGATCAATTGTCTCTTTGTTATGGGGAGCACATCCCTAGCAGAATATGGGAGGTAAATATTTTGAGATCTTGCATGCCTGAAAAATAAATCTCTGTTCTATTGCCATAACGGACTGAAAGTTTGATGACTTCAGAATCCTAGAGATCATTTTTAGTTGAAGAAATATTCTATCTTTACCTTACACTTTATTGAATTTTGTCACAATTCTGGCATATTTCAATTTCCAACAGTTCTTTCTTGATTTCTCATTGTTCTCTGTTTCCATAGCATCTTGTTGCAAATTAATTCTTGTTTTAATGATGCAATATTTTCTCTTATCTCTTTAAGGATGTTAATTATAATTAACTGGAAGTTTTCTTCTACTGCCAACATTGTCTCTGTTTTCCTCTGAATTGCTTTTATCTGCTTTTTTTGGTCTCTGTCTTTCAACTTGAATGTTTTCCTCAAATGTCTGAGGACTCTTAGCAGCCAATGTGTATTTATGAATGAAATCCTTACATACTTATTGGATTTTCTGTGTACATGGGTGGGCCTTATGACTGGTGGGCTTTCCTGAAGTGTGATCAAGCAGAAGCCCAGCTTTTCATTGGGATGATATTCAGATGACGATATCTGTAAGTCTATTTCATGACCCTTTTGAGCTACTCTTGAGCAGGAGCTCTCCAATTTCCTGACAAAAGGTATAAATCTGGTTATAAGGGTTTTAGGAACAAGTTGGAGGAAATTTACAAACTTTCACTAAATAATCTGTGTTTAGTCTGCAACTTTAGCCCCTCCCTTTACTGTGCTAGGAGTCCTCAAATCCATAATCTCTCCAGTCTGATTTTTTCAAAGAATTAATTTCCAATCTCTTACAGGCATTGGGATAAAAAGATTTGGCTGCCCATGGTAAAGAGGGAGTCTAGAGGAGAAGGTGGTTCTCATAGCTCCTTACACAATCTTTCACAACCAGTCCCAGGCTTTCAGCCCTGCCTCTGACATCTACCTTTTACCTTGAAATTCTCTATTTCTTGGAAACAGTGGGGAAATAGATGGAGGGAGACCAATGGTATTCAAAATAGTTGCTGAAT